GACAATGCACTTAAGATTCTTAAAAGCCCTGAGATGGTCTTCGAAGCACCACATTAAATCTTTCTTGGAGTCTTTAAAAAGAAGTTGTTGCCGGGCATGGTGGCTCACACTTGTAATCCCAGCACTTTGGGAGGCCAAGGCAGATGGATCACAAAGTCAAGAGATCGAGACCATCCTGGCCAACATGGTGAAACTCCGTCTCTACTAAAAATACAAAAATTAGCCGGGCATGGTAGCGCATGCCTGTGATCTCAGCTACTCAGGAGGCTGAGGCAGGAGAATCGCTTGAACCTGGGAGGCGGAAGTTGTGGTGAGCCGGGATTACAACACTGCATTCCAGCCTAGCAACAGAGCAAGACTCTGTCTCAAAAAAAAAAAAAAAAAAAAAAAAAAAAAGTAGTTTTTATAGCCACGTCTTGATTTGGTCTTTCCCCAGATACCATTTCTTACTTTGCAAACATTTTACTGACTAGAATTCTGCTTGAAAACCAAACAGATCTTGCCCTTTGGCAATAAAACCCATTGGCACTTTCAGCATTTTACCTGAAAATCTCCTTGGCTAGATCCACAAGTTCAATGGCACATATTCTATCTTCTTTTCTTTTCTTTGTTTTTTTTTTTTTTTTTTTTTTTTTTTTTTTTGAGACAGAGTTTCACTCTTGTTGCCCAGGCTAGAGTGCAATGGCGCAATTTCGGCTCACTGCAACCTCTGCCTTCCAGGTACAAAGGATTCTCCTGTCTCAGCCTCCCAAGTAGCTTGGATTACAGGCCTGCGCCACCACATCCGGCTATTTTTTTTTTTTTTTTAATTTAGTAGAGACGAGGTTTCACCATGTTAGTCAGGCTGCTCTCAAACTCCTGAACTCAGGGGATCTACCCGCCTCGGCTTCCCAAACTGCTGGGATTATAGGCGTGTGCCACCGCACCCGGCTTCATATTCTATTGCTCGTGTCACCACAGGCAACAGCAATGTCAAACATCCTGCCACTACGTGATATAGTTTGCCTCTTCTCCAGTCCTCCATAGCAATTTCCTCGCTGCTCTACCAACTTCCACTCACAGTCATCTCTCTAGTTACCAGCTGGCAAGTCAGTGTCACATACTTTAGGGTTTTATTACAGCAACACTCCACATCCAGGTACCAGTTTATGTTTCATTTACCTATTAGTATGAAATAGACCACCTCCAAATCTTAGAGGTTTAAAACAACCACCACCATTTATTTGTTCATGATTCTGCAAAAGGTGGAGTTCACTGGGTCAGTTCATCTCTGATCTGTCTTAGCTAGGAAGACCCAAATGAGGCTGTAAGATCGAGAAGGGCCTCTCTCCAGTAGGGTAGTTACTGGTTTTCAAGAAGTCAGTGGAAGCTGCCAGGCCTAGAACTAAAACAGTGTCACTTCCACTGCATTCCAGTAGAACGCCAGCATAAGTTGGTCAAAGCAAGTCACATAACCCAGATGCAAGGGAAAGTGAAATAGACTCCACCTCTTCATAAAGCGAATGACATGTGAGTAAGTGGGTGGAAGGAATTGTTGGCGACCATCTTGGCAGACACTCTACCATAATCCTTAAACTAGTAAGGAACAGAGCTGAGGCCAGAATATGTTTTTCTACTTTCAATCTACTCTGTTGTCCATTACATCATATTTCTCAGATACCACCGCTCCTTCAGTGAGATAAAGATGACCCCAGGCCCACTACATTGTATGATTTAGACACTCATTAACATAATGCTATTATTTCCTTGAGCCTGTTATATGCAATCAGTATACGCATATATTGCTATTTGAAGACATGGCCAGAAGAGGAAAAGGATCTGGGAAATGTAACTGGCAAACAGCAAATAATAATTCTATAAAGAAAGAACAGGCAAAGTGAAGGGGAAAACTTATCAAAGAAATAACTGAAGAGAGGCCAAGCATGGTGGCTCACGCCTGTAATCCCAGAACTTTGGGAGGTTGAGGCGGGTGGATCACCTGAGGTCAGGAGTTCGAGACCAGCCTGGCCAATATGGTGAAACCACTACAAATACAAAAAATCAGCTGGGCATGGTGGTGGGCACTTGTAATCCCAGCTACTTGGGAGGCTGAGGTAGGAGAATCACTTGAACCCGGGAGGTGGAGGTTGCAGCGAGTCAAGATTGCACCACCATTGCACTCCAGCCTGGGCGACAGAGCAAGACTCCGTTCTGGGGGCGGTGGGGGGGCGGACAAATAGGGTTGGATGTGTAAAGCTCTTATTTACAGATGAATGGCAAATTATAAATATATCAGGATATATGACCAGGTGAAACCTTTGAAAGCCTCTGTTTTCTCATCTGTGATACTGAGGACTATTGTGAAGACTAAAGTCCAGGCGCGGTGGCTCACACCTGTAATCCAATACTTTGGGAGGCCAAGGTGGGTGGATCACGAGATCAGGAGATCGAGACCATCCTGGCCAATATGGTGAAACTCTGTCTCTACTAAAAATACAAAAATTAGCCAGGCGTGGTGATGCTTGCCTGTAATCCCGGCTACTCAGGAGGCTGAGGCAGGAGAATTGCTTGAATCAGGGAATCGGAGGTTGCAGTGAGCCAAGATCACACCGCAGCACTCCAGCCTGGTGACAGAGGGAGACTCCATCGCAAAAAAAAAAAAAAAAGATTAAAAAATGTATAAAGAATGTCTGGTATATTGTAGGTGCTGAAAAAAGGCATAGTTATTTCACTGGCTTTTTTAGTCTTTGCAAGCAGCTAGCCTTGCTGAACTCATAGTAAGACCTCAAGAAATCCTTGTTGAATTCACGTGTCATGGCCCAAACCACACAGAGTACTCTTGGTATGGACAAACCACAATGTCTATTTTGTTTGGAGGCATTTCCAGGGAAAAATCTGCAGCGAATTCGATGTCTCTTTCTCAGCTGTAACAGACATTTTTGGCCTCAGTTCATTCTCTGTGAGACAGCCAGAATTCTCTTTCTGAGACATAATTCTGATTATATGACCCCTCTCCAGAAACTTATCAGCAGGGCTCTGACCTACCTGGGCAGCCTCATTCCCCCACATCTTCACTCTTCACCGCTCCATGTGCCACTGCTGGACAGGCCAGGCTCATTCATGCCTCTGTACCTTCCTCCATCCTGTTTTCCTGCTGGAATGCCCTTTCCTGCTTTCCTCAGTGGTGAACTTTGCCTCATCCATCAAGCCTCAGAGTAAATATTATTTTCTACTGCAGAGCAAAGGCTTTCCCAAGCCCTTCAGGCCAATTTGGCTACTTCTCTTGGCATTTTAAAAATAATCTCTCCTCTTGCAGTTGTCACCTCACATTGTTATTTTTTTAATTTGTTGGTCTCAGCAACTAGGCAAGAGCTTCTTGAGGACAGGCGTTTGGTTGTTTCCTCTTTGCATTGACATGATCTTACCCAGTACCTGTTACCATCAGATTTTTCTCCATAAACGCATTCCCTTGCCTTTGTTCATACTTAAACTCACCTGGCAAAAATTAAAATATATAGTATTCGGTGTGGTGAAAATGGGCAAAATGGGAATTTTCATACATTATTGGTGGAAGGGCAGTTTGTCAATATCTATCAATATTTCAAATACTCATGCCCTCTGATGCAGTGATGTTGGTTCAAGAAAGCTATCTTGAAGAGAGAGCTCTACGTGACCATAACAATATGTGTATAAGGACATTTATATCAGCATTTTAAGATTGAAACACCCTAAGTGGCCATCAATGAGGCTAAATTAAATTAATTTTAGAGTATCTGTTCAGTGGAATGAAACTGCTGAAAGGAATGGAGTAGATCAGTATGTCCTGACATGAACGGATTTCCAAAATATAGTGCTCAATGAAAGAACAAGCAGAATGTAAGTGTAAAACTGTGTCTTGCTGGAATACTAAGTTACAATACGATATATAAAACATTATGAAAACAGATTTGGCTACAGATGCCCACTCTGTCCAGATCATTCCTATATTAACCCACTGGAATATTGGGAGGCTTCCTAAGGTGTAAGTTTCTTTTTTTTTTTTTTCCACATTAAATTATGATTTATTTATTAGAAATTCCAAAAAGTCAAAATATTACCTTTGAGGACTTTTTTTTTTAAACCAATTATTATCAGAAGACATAAGCACAAGTATAAGATTGTATCCATAAAAGTTTCTGAAAAACTTAGGGACATCCTGTTTTTATTTATTTATTTATTTATTTATTTTTATTTTTTATTATACTTTAAGTTCTAGGGTACATGTGCATAATGTGCAGATTTGTTACATATGTATACTTGTGCTATGTGAGATGTAAGTTTCTTATTCTTAACTCAGCACATTTTACTGCTTTTATACATTGGCATGTCAGAGAATGAGTATTTCAAACCCTATCAGCCCCTATTGTTTCTTCCAGCAGCATTTTTCCATCTAATTTTGTAGAAAATACAAATATTTAGCTGCTAAGTGTCTGTTATCAATAGAAAAAAAAAAACCCTAATTCTGCAATACAATATGTATTTCTTAGCCACAGAGTCTATTCAAAATAGGACAGTATTTTCATGAAATAAAATATTTTGTGTGAATATGAAAACACTCAAAAACATAGCTGCATTTTGAATGTTTTTATCTTTATTAAGTGTCTATCGAATGTATTCTGGTGTTTTGAATTTTTTTAACTTTGAATTTTTTTAACCAACATACAGTCTTCAAAGTTAAAAAATTCAAAACACCCAAAATACATTCGATAGACACTCAATAAAGATAAAAACATTCAAAATGCAGCTATGTTTTTGTGTGTTTTCATATTCACTCGAAATATTTTACTTCATGAAAAATACTGTCCTAACTACTCGGGAGGCTGAGGCAGGAGAATCGCTTGAACCCCGGAGGCAGAGGGTGCGGTGAGCCGAGACTGCACCACTGCACTCCAGCCTGGGCAACAAGAGGGAAAAACTCCGTCTCAAAAGAAAAAAAGTCGCCCTTTTTTCTGGCCCAGGACCCGGACCCTACAGTCGCCGAAATGTTGATGCCTAAGAAGAACCGGATTGCCATTCATGAACTCCTTTTTAAGGAGGGAGTCACGGTGGCCAAGAAGGATGTCCACATGCCTAAGCAGCCAAAACTGGCAGACAAGAATCTGCCCAACCTTCATGTCATGAAGGCCATGCAGTCTCTCAAGTCCCGAGGCTACGAGAAGGAACAGTATGCCTGGAAACATTTCTACTGGTACCTTACCAATGAGGATATCCACTATCTCCGTGATTACCTTCTGTTTTTTTTTTTTGTTTGTTTTGTTTTTTGTTTTTTGTTTTTTGAGACGGAGTCTCGCTCTGTCGCCCAGGCTGGAGTGCAGTGGCGCGATCTCGGCTCACTGCAAGCTCCGCCTCCCGGGTTCCCGCCATTCTCCTGCCTCAGCCTCCTGAGTAGCTGGGACTACAGGCGCCCGCCACCGCGCCCGGCTAATTTTTTGTATTTTTAGTAGAGACGGGGTTTCACCGTGGTCTCGATCTCCTGACTTTGTGATCCGCCCGCCTCGGCCTCCCAAAGTGCTGGGATTACAGGCGTGAGCCACCGCGCCCGGCCCGTGATTACCTTCATCTACCCCCGGAGACTGTGCCTGCCACTCTACGCCGCAGCCGTCCAGAGACTGGCAGGCCTCAGCCTAAAGGTCTGGAGGGTGAGCGACCTGCAAGACTCACAAGAGGGGAAGCCGACAGAGATACCTACAGGTGGATTGCTGTGCCTGCTGAATTTTTTTCACATCTAAACAGGAAAGCCGAGGCTGGGACTAGGTCAGCAACCAAATTCCATTTTAGAGGCAGATTTGGTCGTGGACATGGTCAGCCACCTCGGTAAAATTGGAGAGGATTATTTTGCATTGAATAAACTTACAGTCAAAAAAAAAAAGTCAAACAGAATAATATGACTAAATTGATTCTATTTATGTTAATATTTATGTGTATTCACACATTATGTGTATATTCATATATGTCTGCATAGGTAGGTTCATGTAAACACATATGAAAATATATGGAAGTATGTACACCACAGTGGTATTGGTTAGCTTTGGGAAAAGTATTTGTTCAGGAGAATATTCACCTTTACTACATATGCTTGTTTGCATTATTTGATTTTTGTAAACAATACAGACACCTTCTACAGTTTTAAAAAGAGTTGAAAAAAAACCAACACAAAAACATATAACTAGTGAAAAGAAGGGCTGCCTTCTTACACTTAAGATTATGACACGGCCGGGCGCGGTGGCTCAAGCCTGTAATCCCAGCACTTTGGGAGGTCGAGACGGGTGGATCATGAGGTCAGGAGATCGAGACCATCCTGGCTAACACGGTGAAACCCCATCTCTACTAAAAAATACAAAAAAACTAGCCGGGTGAGGTGGTGGGCGCCTGTAGTCCCAGCTACTCCGGAGGCTGAGGCAGGAGAATGGCGTGAACCCGGGAGGCGGAGCTTGCAGTGAGCTGAGATCCGGCCACTGCACTCCAGCCTGGGTGACAGAGCGAGACTCCGTCTCAAAAAAAAAAAAAAATTACGACAGCCCATGCCAGGTTTTGGGGAAAACTTGAATCTTTTTGATGGTATCTTTCATGTATATTTAAGAAAACGATAATTTTAAAATCTATAAATAGAGGAAAAGCTGGACATCACAGCACTCTCTGCTGACAAAGAAAACACTCAATATTGTAAAATCTCATGTGATTTTGTTTCTTCTAGTTATAATCTATGAGAATACAACTTAGGCAGAGCCAATGCTTATATGTTTCATACAATGCATAAAGAAAAAAGCTTGCTAAGCAAGTTAATATATTAAATAAGATAACTTGTAGCACGAAGTTTATGGGAAGGGTAGAGCACATTTCTTTCTTCATACAATCTTTGTATTGTTTGTATTACATCCTTTATCTCTTGGTACCATGACTGTTTATGTTTCAGGTTGCACCATCGAACTAGGAGCTCCTGGTTCATCTTTGTAACCCCAGCTTGGGGCTCATAACATGGTCTCCATGTTAAGAGACCTGAGGTTGTTGGAGTGGACTCTATTACTGGATACTCTGATAATCATCATAGAACGCAGGAAGCGTGAGCTCCGGTCCTAGCTCCTATATAAATTGGGTGTACTTGGACATGTCACTTAAGCTCTCTTGTCCTATTCCTCACCTGGAAAATAAGGGTCTTTGACTAAAAAATTATCAAATTCTCTTTTAGCTCAAAAACTTGATCCTTAATATGCAAATGTAATAATTTAAGCAGATTAATCATATACATGCACGTGGATATTGCTAAACAGAGACAAGATTTATCTGTTCACTGAAAAGGCCCAATAGGATTTCTAAATGGAAGTACTTTGAATAATAAAACTATTAATAATAAAACCTCTTTACAAGTAGATCAATAGATCATTTTTACCAAATATGATTGGCCTTCTTTCTCTGAATTCCTTGTTTGTTCAAATTAAGAGGGGTATCCCTGTGGAATTGCATACATGCATATAAAGTTGTTGCTTTCATTCAGACTCTTTGGATTGCAGGACATCAGCATGTATTAAGCTTCTAGATTATTTAAACATGTAGCTGCAATTGGGAAATATCACTTTAAAGTAAAATAAAGCTGTGTCAAATATCATTAAGATAATTATAACAACAGGCAACTGTTAAATTTCGGTATGTTGCAAAGGAACTTAGTTTTCTAATAAAGTGAACCTGTGATAACATACTTAGGTAGCTAAATATGGGTATATGCACTAGGGACATGCTTACGCTGTCACTAGCAATAGGCTGCAAATATTCCTCCCCACTCTTCAGGGAGTGTTGGCAAGCAGCAAGCAGAATGGAACCCAGTTTTGTAACCCAAGAGGCCAGAGCTGGTACAGGGATGCTTTGGGAGAACATGCTCAGAAGTTGGAGTAGAGCTAAGCTAGATACCAAGGGAGAAGCCAATGGCACTATGATCTGTTAAAAAGTCTGAAATACAAGAGCAGAATTTAAACAGAGGAGGAAGCTAAGCTCTGTGGCTGGAAGAACACAAATGCAAGTAGGAGGGAAGCAAGGAGGGAGGGGACAGGCTGCAGCTGGGGCTGAGGTGGCATCCACTGCCTCTGTGATCGTGACGCTGGGGGATTGGGTGAGGTTGGAATGCATCGCTGGCATGGATACTAAATCATCTCTGCCATTTCTTCAAGCAATGCAAAAAAGAGAAGAATAGGAAGGAAAAGGAGGAAGAAAGGAAGAAGACAGTGGAAGAGAACATTGTGAGGGAGGATACTGTGACATTGTGATAGAGAGAAAAGTGAAGGGACAGGTTTATACTCCTGACTGCAGCATAATGACAATTTTTTTCACATCCAAATTTTGGTTTTTGCCTTCTGAGCCAGTTAATATAAAAATACATACATACATAAATTTTAGTTTCTTAGCATCAGGAGAACAAAATATTTTGGCCCAGATCATCTGTAAGTTACTTGCTAGCTCTTATATTTGTAAGACCCTGCTGAAACAGTCTGAAATTCTGTAAGGCTCAGTTAAAACAATCACTAAGATATTCATAAATCAACTTTATTACTCAGGTAGTATAATTTTAGTTCAACTACTCAGTACTTTGGCATCTGGTTTTCCTGGGGCTGTTGGTAAGAAGACCTGATTGCTTTCTAAAAGGGTGGGTCTCTGAATTGTGTTAGAAGCAAAAGGCAAACAGATGGGTAAGCTGCTCTAATCAGCTCAAGCTGGAAAACAAACAACAACAAAAAAAAAAACAAAAGAAAACTCTTTTCTCTTAAAATGAGAGATTGGTCTTCACCAAATTCCAATGCTCCACTCCCTGATTTGGAGATGAATCAGATGACTTCACTGGTCTTCCCCTTCTCTGATTTCTGTGATTCATCAGCTAAAGCAACTAGGGTGGGGGAAAAGAACCCTTCTAGTATTCAGGTTATGTTGCATCTTAAAAGGAAAGAATCTAAGGAAAAACTGTTAGAATTGTAAAATAATGAAGAAAGCAAACTTATAATACTCCTAACTCAGACATATTTTTAAAGAGGACTCCCTATTCTGGTAATTATCAATTACATGGACTTTGCTGTTTATCAATTGTTTTATAAATATTTTTCTATGAAATCAGTAAAAAAAAAAAAAAATGCATTGTGCAGACAAAAAACTAGTTTCAGGCTGGGTGTGGTGGCTCAGGCCTGTCATCCCAACACTTTGGAAGGCTAAGGTGGGAGAACTGCTTGAGGCCAGGACAGAGTAAAACCCTATCTCTAAGAAAAAAAAAAAAAAAGATAAAAAGAAAACTAATTGGTTTTGACCATCTGAAAAAGCTACCAGTATCTACCTGATTATAATAATCAAGGAACCCTCAAGATTCATTCACGTTAACAAACATTGAGTATCCACTAAATGCCAAGCCAGGCGGGACTACACAGCACACACATAACAGGAAGAAACATCGAACTCCTCCTTAAGGACTAGTGGAAGTTAATATGTAATGATAATTTGGCAAATGCATCAGATATGAAATCTAAGTGCTAGGACAATACAATAAGAGAATGACTAATTCTGTCAAGGAACAGTTAACCATTAGAGAAAGGAAGTAAGCCATTCTGTCTTTGCCAATGCATTAAAGTTGTTCATAGTTAGTTGAAGTCATTGCACAACCACGAAAGAGGAAATGTAACGTAAACCAATGTATTCTCTATCAGCAGGAAATGACAATGTAGAGAGGTGGGACTGTTTAGTTTCAAACAAACCATCCAGTATAAAAACAGGTAAAGAGTCATGAGAGAAGGTATGTATTTGATTAATGCCACCATTTTGAAGATAGTTTTGGAAACACTCAGCTTAAGTATTTCCCTCAAAGCTGAAGGCAAATTCTGGTCACTTGAGAGTTTTGAGGAAGAGCTAGCAGTGATTCTGGGCCAGAGCTGGTGTTTAAGAGGGGAAAAGATAGTAGCAGAAGAGGATGCTGATTTGATGAGGCCCTCATTTGATAACATTGTTCAGTGAACTCAAACAGATTTATTTTCTGGTTGTAAAAATATTTGAGCATTCTGATATGAGGGCTGAAGTGGATATCTATCAGTCCAATCAAGCTTTTAGACTTCCTGAAATACTCAGTATTCAAAATCGTGTAATACTATTTAAAAGTAATAATTTGGTGAGGGTAAAAATGTTCAAAAATATAGTGAACTAAAGTGGAATATTCAATGATAACATGAATAATGAACTTATATAGCAAAAAAGAGTTTAAAAATCCAGTATTCCCACGAGCAAGGGAATAGCTAAGTGTGATGTCGTTTCCATTAGCCCTATGTAAGTCTCCGTAGAAATAGGTTAACATCTGCCATCCCCTTCCTCTTCCAGAACCTGTGGTATTCTTGTGGGCATTCTGGATACCTGGAACAAGCTTAGACATAAACCCAGACAATGAAAGAGTTAAGAAGGTACAGAGTTAGTGGATGCAGGGTTGGACCTGAGAAACCCGCCACCCACCGAAGTCAGTCGTCAGAGATGTTGACCCCTCTCCTAGGGCTGCAGTTACTTTTCCTTCACAAACAGAAATCATATCTTGGAATAGTTAACACTGCTTCTGTTAGTCTACTAATATGCATTATATATATTATAAAATTATCTGCCCTGTTTTGTTAAAAAAATACATGAAGCCTTTATACCATTAATATCTAATGGAAAAGGAATGGCAGAGAGGTAGGGGAGAATGGCCTCGGACCCACTTGGGCTAGCAGTACAGATCTCCATATTACCATTTTGTTTTAACTTTTTTTTTTTTTTTGGTGTTTTGGGGTTTTTTTTTAGATGGAGTCTCGCTCTGTTGCCCAGGTTGGAGTG